AAAAAGAAAAAGAAAAGAAAAGAAAAATGAACTGGGCACAGTGGTGCACACCTGTAATCCTAACAGCTTGGGAGGCTGAGGCACGAGAATCACAAGTTCAAAGTCAGCCTCAGCAAGTTGGCAAGGTCCTGTCTCAAAATAAATAAAAAGGGCTCAAGATAGAGCTCAGTGGTAAAGCACTTGCCTAGCTCAAGTGAAGCACTAGGTTCAATCCTTAGCACTGCATAAAAATAAATAAATAAAAAGTATTAWGTCCATCTAAAACTGAAAAAAAAATTAAAAGGGTGGGGGGGCTGGAGTTATGGTTCAGTGGTAGAGCGCTTGCCTAGCATGCATGAGGCACTGGGTTCAATCCTCAGAACCATATAAATGTAAAATATAGTTTCCACCTAAAAAAAACTAAAAAAAATAAATATAAAAAAAAAGGGTGTGTGGGGGATGCTAGGGATGAAGCTCAGTGGTTAAATGCCATAGAGTTCAATCCCTGGTACCAAAAGAATATATAATAATAATAATAAAAATAATAAAATAAAACAAAGAAAGAAAAATGAGTAAGAAATACAAACATGAACTTCACACTTCACAGAAAAATGCAAATGGTCAGTGATATAGTGGTTAAAAAATAAAGGCTCTTGAGGTGGACTGGGTTCAAATCAAGGCTTGGCCAACTTCCTAGCCGTGTGATTTTTGGCAAGTAATTTTACTTCTTTGTGACGCAGTTTCCTTATCTGTAAAATGGGGCTATACCAGTCCTTCTAGAGTAGTTCTGAGGATTTAAATGAAAATGTATATGAAAAGTACTCAGAAAAGTTCCTAGTACACAGTAAATATTAAATAAATGTTGGCTGTTATTTTATTATTCTATTTATTATCATTATAATCATATGAAAAGATTTTTGAGATTACCTAGAGTCAAAGAAATTAAGACCAATAAGATGCTTTTTTTCTTTTTTTTGTGTGTGGTAATGGGAATCGAACCCAAAGTCACTTTACAATGGAGCCACATCCCCAACCCATATATATATTTAGAGACAGGGTCTTTCTGAGTTACTTTTGGCCTTGCTAAATTATTAAGGCTGGCCTTGAACTCCTGATCCTCCTGCCTCAGCCTTCCAAGTTGCTGGGGTTACAGGAGTGTGCCTGGTTCGGATATCATTTTTATGCCAATCAGACAGGTAGACCTGAAATGGATGATTAGCGTCTATAGGTGGCAGGAGGAAGAAGCAAATGTCCAATATAAATACATGGGAGTGAAAATGAATTTTGCTTTCTGAAGGGCAATAATGAAATATGTATCAAAAAGCTTAAAAAGTATATATTCCTTGACACCAGTTCTGTTTTAGGAATTTATCTCAAGGAAAGAGTTGAACAAGATACATGTACCAGGTTACCTCAATGTCAATCATAACCAAAAATGCAAATAAATTATAAGTATGCTAACTAACCAACATGGAAAACCACACAGAATCATTATATAATGAAGCTCTTTACAATCATTAAGGTGCAGTGGCGCAGCCTGTAATCCTAGCAGCTTGGGAGGCTGGGGCAGAAGGATCGTGAGTTCAAAGCCAGCCTCAGCAAAAACAAGAAGCTTAGCAATTCAGTGAGACCCTGTTTCTAAATAAAATACAAAATAGGGCTGGGGATGTGTCTCAGTGGTGAAGTGCCCCTGAGTTCAATCCCCAGTAGCCCCCCACAAAAAAAAAAAAAGGAAAAAAGATGAGGGTGGCTATATTGGATATGTTTGTTAAGGGTGTGTGAGTGTGTGTGTGTAATCAGGGCACCCAAAGATTACCTATGGTCGAACCCAAACCTAAACCTTTCACCCTGGACTCCATGTCAGAGTAGCCCTGACCTCCGCCTCCCACAGCTTCTTCCCTGTTCTGCAGGCTATAGCCTCCTACCCTCACAAAGCTTTCAGATGTACCAAGCTCACTCCCACTTTTGGACTTGGACTTGGCCTCACTTTCTCAGCCTAAGATGTTTTTCCCCTGGGTCTTTGTATGGTCAGCTTCCTCACTTTGTTCTGTCCATTCAAATATGGGTTCCTCAGAAACCTCCCCTGACCACCCTGATGACAGAGTGTCACTTTTCTATCCCTGTACCTTGCTAGTTTTCTTCAGAGCATCCGTTGCTAAATAAATCAGTTTATTTATTTCCTTGCTTATTGTCTTCTTTCTCTAACTAGATTGTAGCCTTCACACAAAAAGTGCACAATAAGCAACTGGACACAAGGAAGGAAGGAAGGAAGAGTATGAACCTGAAGAGAGTGGAGGAACAGTCACTAAACTTGTCCACAGAGGCTCTTCCCTGGATGAGAGATGTGTGATGACTTTCTTATGCTTTTATGTTTTCTGAAAATTCTACAATAAACATGAAACATTTTCTAGCTCGGAAAACCATAAACCCATCTCCCTTAAAATTTTTTTTTTGTAGTTGTAGATGGACAGAATGTCTTTATTTCATTTATTTTTTATGTGGTGCTGAGGATCCAACCCAGTGCGTCACGCATGCTAAGCAAGTGCTCTGCCACTGAGCTACAGCCCCAGCCCCAAAACCATCTCCTTTTTGAAAAACAAAATTTTACCTTTCTAATTTTATTTGATCTAAACTTTATTAAAAGTAATTCATTCCCTCTGATTTGGTATTTGGGATGGCAGATGTATTTTTGTGTGACTAACAAATGCAGCAAGGGGCTTATGTCTGCCCTGGATAATACCAAAAAAGCAGTGACTGAGTGTTAACTGTGTGAATTTCATGCACATAAATGCCTGCRCACACATCCCAAACTAAACCAAACCGAAACAAAACCGAAGTCACAACAAAATCAAATCAGAATGCGAACATTGTTACCAGTGGCAGGCTCGCATGGAACTGGTGTGTAATATTTGGAGTACACTTCATCTTTTGGCCGATCAGGAAACACGTATATAAGGTAATTCAAGTCCCCTAGACGGTCGGCCAGAGACCGGATGGAGAAGTCTCTGGTGGTAAAAGGCATCAGATTCCAAAACATTCTTTCCTCTAGATCAATAAACAGAACAATCACATTCTATCCATGATTTCTGAACACAGAATCTTAAAATCCAAATATACCACAAATTCAAGCCCTTCATTAAAATTGATCAAATGGAAATCTCCATTTTAAAATAACCACGGGTTGTAGGTAAAGTAGTTTTTAAAAGCATGGATAGATAAGCAGGTAATGCACGCATCACTTCCCTAGAGACTGAATGATCTCAGGTCAGTTCAAGTTCAAGCAGCATTCCATCCCTCTCTAGAAGGAACAGTTCTTATCGACCCCAACTCCTGATTCTCTGTATGAAGGTATATAAGAGAGCTAGGAAGCATGCCCATAGGCAGAGAAAACATAAGAGCTATTAAAAGCTATTAAAATCATTAAAAGTCTCTCTCTCTCTCTCTCTCTCTCTCTCTCACACACACACACACACACACACACACACACACATACACACACACACACAGATCCAGCAAGGTACTTTTATATTATTGTAAGGGTCAGAGAAAAAAATTAACATTCTTGGGTGGAAATGGTCAATGGCAATACCCTCATGTTAATTAGGAAAAGGGAATGATTGAAATAGCACATTATTAGTACTTTGAGGACTCCAAATCATCAAAGTAATTCTTCATTGAAATAAGTTCCAGGCTGAGAAATAATAGGGCAAATATTTCAAAAGGGAAGCAGCTGAGATTTTATAGCCTGCTGTATTGCATAGTTATACTTTTGTGTTTCCCAAAATTAATAATTATGTTTCCCATAATAAGATTTTTCATAGGCGCCATCTTATGAGCAGCCATGTCATGGTTATATGACTATGTTTTCTGTAATTAGTACTGGCCCCAACAAATAATAAGTACTCAATAAACTGTTAAAGTAATTTTGCAACAAAAGCAGCTGACTTTGGATGAAAACCAAGATGTGTCTTAAAAAGGGTGGAGCACTCACGAGAATCAAACTTCCAAGCAATGGTGATGCCGCCAATTTCTGAGTCGCTGAATCTCAGTAGGAAGGTTCCATCAGGCTTGTTAATGAGTAGGTCATGGGCCTGTTGCTTGTTCACAAAACCCAAAATGGCCCTGGATCACAAAGGCCAAATGAACAGAAGCAGAGGGTGATGTGTTAATGCTAGGAGGAAAACTTTCATACTCTACTTTAGACTTAAAAAATAATGATTCTAGCCAGGTGTGGTGGTGTGTGCATATAGGCCCAGCTACTCAGGTCGTGGAAGCAGAAGCATCACTTGAGCTCATGAGTTTGAGACCAGCGTGGGCAACACAGTGAGACCCCCATCTCAGAAAAAAGGAGAATTACCCATCATTCCAATGAGGCTTGAGATGTTTTTTTAACACTTCCATCACACCGTCAAACCATTGCCAAAAAGTATAATTCCGTCCTGGCAAATTCTCCTGGTTGGAGATACAACAATGAACACACACACACACACAGAGAGAGAGAGAGAGAAAGAGGAAGAGTTGGAATATTAACTGCATGTACTTTAACTGGAAAACAAATACCTGCACTGCCAGAAGCATGCAACTATTTCTGCCTACCTCAGTTTTACCAAATGGTCCTCAATCAAAAAGACAGAATGAAGAAGAAAAGACAATTAAGGGGAAAGGCCAATGTGCTACTGTCAATACCCAGTGGTCCCTGAGTCTTCCACCTGGATCTGAGCTGACTATTTTTGCTGTGTGGCCTGTGACTAGCAACATCAGCATTGCTCAGGAGCTTCTGAGAAATGCATGTTTTCAGGACCCATCTCAGCTGAATCACAGCTGTGTTTTAATAATATGCCCTGTTGCTTCATAAATTTGATCTGGATTARATCACAATCATAAGGCCACAGAGATGGTCACATCATACAATGTTTCCAATGGTCATCAGTCAAATGCAGTTACCTGATCCTATTAGAAGGCAGGAGCTTTACTGTAATGGAAAAGATAGACCATGAGACCTCCTGATTCCCCTATCAAACCTCTTCTGACTACCAGCAAATTGTTGGCCAACTTGTTAATACAAAACTACCCAGAAGACCAATAGCTCTCTGAACGAAAGGCATTTAAACACTGGACGTGGAAGTATAGGAAAGGAACTCAAGTGTAATTGAAAATCAATCAAAGATATGACATCTGAGTACCAGACACTACAAACTAGAAAATGTTTCTTTCATCAGCATTCTGTTCTGTGGGTTAAGGGTCTCATGGGAGTCTGAACTGGCATTATACATCATGGAACATCAGAGAGTAAGTGAATAAGACAGAGTCATGGATTTATTATCTTAAAGCTTTCTTTCCCATGAGTTATGTTTATGTTTGCTTTCTTTATTTTCTTTATATAGGAAGAAAACTCACTAACTGAACACAAAGCCCAACTTACTTAAAATATGGAAAGATGTGATTCTCAACATGAGACCTGGATAACTCTGAAGTTGGCCATCTATTTAGAAGCTTCTATTATTTTTGGTACATTTTATTATAAATATGAAGAACAGAGGCCCAGGACAGGGAGACTCCTGAAGACATCTGGTTTGGAGGGATTGACCTAATATCAACTGGAGGCCTGGATTCCTCACCCTGTTGAACTGGGACCAGGACACAGACATGCTGTTGTAGTCCTCGAGGTGGGCGCTGCTGCTGTTGAATAATTTCTGTGCCAGGAACACGAGGTTCTCCTTGGTCAGGCCTCGGTTGCTCTGCACTTCGGCCTTGAATTTCATGTTGAGAGCTTCACACAGCTGTGGCCACAGCACTTTGTCAGGCACGGCAAATGGCACCCTGCCCTGAGAGGGAGAGAAGCCAGATTCTTATGAAAAAAACAGTTGCATGATTGATTCCCTCCAGCCACAAGAGAAAAACAACGATGGCTGGAAGTAGTTATAAGCACTGGTCTTGCCAAGGACATTCATGCTTCCTTGGGGTATATGGTTCTGTGAGATGCAGAAGGTTCTGTTTTACCTTCTTCATGCATAACTAGAAGCTAACATTATGCTATGTATGTTATGCATAATGAGCTGCTGCTGATCCTGTGGTTCAACCTGAGGTTCTAAATCCACGAATAAAAATAAAAATAAAACCAAGGTCTGGCTCTTATGTTATTAACTCATTGGGAATTTAGAAACTGAAAAGACTGGTAAAGAGAGAGAGAATGTACACATACATGTATACATATGCATGCATACACACATATGTGCATATCTGCCCTTGACATCTGCCAAGAACTCTATCACAATGTGAAATAACTTGGCATGGTAGAGTGAAAATTTCAGGTTGGCAACTTAATTGAGAATAGAACAGAATATGAACTTTTTTAAAAATTTCATCATCAAGTATTATTATCAGAATATGAACTTTTAATAAATTGCTTTTCATTCTATTCAACCATAGTACTTACAATTCTACAAATTTTTTTTCAGATGGACATTTCCTTCACATAATAAAAATTAAAAAAACAAAGAAGTAAATATAGTGAAGTTGCTTTCCTATCCCCATCAGTAAGCCAATTGTTCCCAAATGCATCTAGTGTCTTGTATATATTGCCAAAGATATTGCATGTCAGCAATTATTCTTTTTTTCTTTAAACATAAATGGTAGCATAAAATCCACATATTCTGTATTTCCTCTTTTTCCCACTTAATACCATATCTGGGAAATCTCATATCAGCACATAAAGAAATTCCTCATTTCTTGGGCTGGGGATGTGGCTCAAGCGGTAGCATGCTTGCCTGGCATGCATGCGGCCCAGGTTCGATCCTCAGCACCACATACAAACAAAGATGTTGTGTCCGCCGAGAACTAGAAAATAAATATTAAAAATTCTCTCTCTCTCTCCCCCCTCTCTCACTCTCTCTTTAAAAAAAAAAAAAGAAATTCCTCATTTCTTTATGAAAGGAATGAGAAGAGAAGGGGAGGAGGAGAGGTTGGTCAAATGTTCTTCAAGCCACTTCAGTGGCATTCATACAGCATTCAGGTGCATAAGCCCTCAAAATTATATCTGATCTTGCAGACAAAACATCTCATTCTCTCTGAGAGATCTGGAATGAAATAGAGACTGTGAAATCAGGAAAGGACATTGAGTGTCATCCTCATTTACTGGAAAGAAGATGACATGAAGCAATGCCTCTGCTAAACTAACTTCTAGAAAGAGCCTGGGAGTCCCCTACCCCATTCAGGGTATCCCCCAAGAACTCAAAAATATTTACTGACCATGGGGGTTGTGACAGTATTTCTCTGTTATTCAATGTAAGCATCCCAATAGTGCCATTATGCTTCTGTTGCAGGAACTGAACGGAAACTCAAGCTCAGAGAGGCAAAGAGAACATCCCTAGATCACAGTCATGATCACAGTGAGGAGGGGGTAGAGCCTAACCCTGGCCTGACATCAAGCCATGCCCTTTCCATATTTTCTATTCTGCCTTTAACTAAGGAAAATAAAAATTTTCCTGTGACTTTTAAAAATTTGTTTTAGTTGTAGATGGACAGCATGCCTTTATTGTATTTATTTGTTTGCTTCTTTGTTTGTTCATTTACTTATTTTTTTATTTGTTTGTTTATTTTGGTGCTGGGGATTGAACCTAGGGCCTTGTGCATTCGAGGCAATCATTCCACCAATGGAGCTATATCCCCAGCCCTTCTATGCTTTTTGAGGGGATACCACATGGAAAAAACTGGTGACACCATTGTGATCTTGAGACCCACAGGCCCAAAGGATCCACTCACAGGCTCTGCAAAAGCATTGTCCCAGAGGACGGTAGCTGTTGCGTTGTTGTCCTGGCTGCCGTGCACAATCACCACCACWGGGAGTGACAGGGTCTAAAAGACACAGGAGAAGGGCTGAGCACCCACAGCCTCAAGTTCTTTCCTTCCTTCTTTTTTCCTTGTCATTGCAACACTATCATTCAAGTGTCAATAAGTGACTCCCTAAATTGCAGAATGGGAATGGCTCCCGGAGTAAGGTGACTTTTCACAATACTGGCACAACTTTAGAAATTTTCAGATATTTTAAAGGCAATATTGCTTATATGTTTCTGAAGGACAGAGTAAGTTTCTCGAAGTTGTAAGGAAAATGATAAAAAGAAAGAGCTTAAAGAGACATTTCTGGAAAAAGAAAAATGAAATGTTTAAAACGTACTATACACTCCTCATGCTGAGTAACACTTCCTATCATTCACTTTTTTAATCTATTCCTCCAGCCATTTCAATTCATTACTGTTTATTCACGACTTAATAGAATCTAAGAGAGAACACCTGTAAGGATGAGGTCTCCCCATTTTCTGTTTATCAATGGTGAAAAAGAAGATACAAGGTGATCACCATTCTTTTTTTTAGTTGTATACGGACATAATACTTTTATTTATTTATTCTTTTTATTTAATGTGGGGTTGAGGATCAAACCCAGTGTTTCACACGTGCAAGGCAAGCRCTCTAACACTGAGCCACAACCCCAGCCCATGATCACCATTCTTTTGTGATATAAAATGCACAGTACATGTGAGCATGCATACCCAGCTATGGAGGGGGCTTTACCTTAACTTGAAAAACCAGCTCATTTCCACCAACACTAAACTGTGATTCAAACAGGATTGTGAATTTTTCTTCTGTCACGGACTCTGCTCCACGGCGATCAGACCTCTTAATTCGTTTCAGGGACTGCAAAGGAGGAACGTGAGATGACAAAGCCCTCAAACACAGAGGGAGAATGCATCTTTCCTCTTCTCCCCTCCTCACCATGTTTCTGAAGTGGGCGCTGAGGGTGCCCGTGGCCTGGTGATACTCCATGACACAGCAGTTGTTCAAGATCTCACCACTGTAATCACTGCAAATCAGAGAGACCAGCTCCAAATCTATCTGGATCTCAGTACACATGGGACAAAGAACATGTTTGGGGTAGCAGGAAATAATACAGAAGGCTGCTAAAAGCACATATCATTTAGGGGAAATGTTAGCTATATTAATAAAACATATAGGGGTTGGGGTTGTGGCTCAGAGGTAGAGCGCTTGCCTACCATGTGTGAGGCACTGGGTTCAATCCTCAGCACCACATTAAAAAAAAAAAAAGATATAGTGTCCACCTATAACTATAAAAATAAATAATTTAAAAATAAATAAAACACACAAGTAATTTTCATATCCCTACTAAATGAAACTATACTATCTTCAAAAAAGAACCCCCTTATATTCATTCTCTGATCCTCAGAACAGGCCAGAGGGTGAGAAAGGATCTGCAGAGATGGCAGAATTTCTATCTTCCCATTGCAGGGATCTGAAGAAAGAGCAGGGAAACTAGAAACTGAGGCACACTCACTTGCGGGTGTTCTCATTCTTGAG